TGTATGGTGGCTCTACAAGTATTTTCCTATAGTACGGTCTTTTAAAGTCAACAGAAAAAATAAAGTGTTTTAGTGATGAAAATTGTGAATGAAATAAATATAACAATATGATATGTATTTTAATTAGTGAAGCAGGGACGGACAAAGGAATTTGTATTTAGTATTTTAGAAAAGGAGTAATGTATTGACGTTTGTAATTGTAAACCGTGCTTTTATATACTAAAGAGTTCTTGAGCTTGGACTTGGATGTGTTTCTTAAAAAAAACCCAGATAGTTTACTTTAAAAACGAATATCTATTTTAACGTTATATTTGACATTAAAAATTCTTCAACTAAGAAATGTTAAGAAATTGGAATATACAAAGATAGTGTTTTTTAAGTTTTATCATTTTTTCGAGAACAACGCTTGGACAATGTTTTCTAATGTACCAGATCTCATTACAATGCCTGGTCGTTTCTTATCGTAAGTACAAATTTTGCTGCTTTAGAACAAACATAGCTGAAACTATATGTTTAATGTCCTTTTTATTCGTCTTTTTTTTCAAATATCTTTTACTCCATGTTTTTTTTTCATTGATTGTTTATTGATAATTTTATTTATCAATGTTTTTTAATCATGTGTTTTTTTCATTAGTTTTTTATTGACATATCTTTATCAATGTTTTTTTAAATCATGTTTTTTTTTCAAAATCACTGATTCTTTTAATCATAATTTCTCTATCAATCATCTGTTTTTATAAATGCTTTTTTTTTCTATCAATGCACCTTTTTTCATAATTTATGTTATTTATCAAATGAATGTATTAATCTTGATTATTTTATCTTATAATTATGTTTTTATTTATCAATGATATTTTAATTCATGATTTAATTTAACGATTGGACCATTCTTTCTTTATTCGTGATTTAATATATGCATTGTTTATCAATGCACGTTAAATCTATTTAAGATTCATGTTTCGAGAATTTACATTTTCCTAAAATTCAAATACACGAACAATTGTCCCTACTCTGATAGTCTAGACGAAATATGTTTTCAAGGCGAAATCTAATTGCGAACAAACTGTTTGTATCAGTGCAATGCATTTCTGGCGGAACAGTTCTATAGAACAAATGGATGTTTAATGTATTCCCTGTACGTAAAGTAATATTGATGAAATACTGACCTGTTTTGTGTTTAGATATTCCCCATTGCTTATCAAATAGAAAAATCTTGATTTTTTACCGTTATCTTTTGAATGTAAAACAAATATACAATCTCTCACAATTAGATGTGATTTTTTCTATTAATGTGCGGTAAAATCAAATTCGCTTTTCTGAGCTAAGCGTTTCAACTGCATATAAATTGCATCATTTTGAATTTATTTGGAGTGCATGGCCACACACGGCGGGATTTACTTTAAAGTATTGAATACAGCGGAAATAACGCAAGCTTTCTCATTAATTTTAAATAGAAGTGAGTCAATTAGGAAACAATATTTGCAGATGTGGTTTCGTGCATGTGAAATAATGTTTGGACTCTGGATTCAGACGATCGTTTTAAAATTTATCTTCATCACAATCTTTGAGAATAGAATAAAAATCCCTCTTGGATAAATAAAACTGTGTCTTCTTTTGTGTGCTATACAAAGTTAAAATGTTTAAATGTCTATTATACTTGTTGAAAAAATAACCAATTGATCGTCTCTGATTTTAAAGATGGTCTTTTTTCAATTTATATTTTTTATATTTTAGGACTTTAAATTATCCCGTATCGAAGCGATGTGTTAAATCAATGAAGTTTATTATCGCTTATTTAGCAATTTGCAATCTACTGAATAATAAGGACAATTGGTTTCAAAGCACGCCGCACTTTACTTTTATTGACAGTTCGTGACCGTACGTCATCCCGTTTGATAGGGATGAATTAAATGTCATTAAAACAGTCCGATCTCATTTATTTTGCATGATCAGCTCTTAAATCAGCATCGGAAGGACTCTCGAAGGGGTAGTTCTGTAAATGCCACTTAATTCTGCATAATTGGCCATTCTAAATCATCCCCTATTTAACAATCCGATTAAATGTTGAATATCATATATTCCACTCAGTTGTTCGACCTTTTAAATGGCATAAAGATGCTGGAAAAATAATGTGCAGAAAAAAGGGTATTGAAATCTTAACACTGATGATTTTTGGACAAATCCTTGTCTAACTTATATTGCTTCGAAAGTGTTTCATCATTCACCATCTAATAAGGTTTTGCATAAAACAATATTTACGTGGGAGGAATTCTCAGGAGCAAAATATTTTGTCTTCATTTAAACCTTTAACCTGCTGAAGCCGGAAGTGATAAACATTTACCACTAGTAAAGAGTCAGGACAGCCTGTACGTTGGTGCCGTTATGCTCTATATGATGTTGGTAGCTAAGCTTTTGTCCCATGATATTGAAATCTCATAAAACTTGAATGAACAATTCTAAATTCAAAGCAGGCCAAATTGATTATAATAATTAAACAGGTAAATTTAGAGTAACATATTGTTGTACTAAAATCTCAAAACTAAAATACCATCATTCATGTTATAAACACATCACTGAAATCGTTTGATTTGAACGAATTTACGATCTGTTATACCAATGTATTGTTTCGCCTAAATTAGTGTGTTCCCATAAATCTGCCCGCATACAAGAAATGGCATGGTAACCTACGATTCTAAATTAAGCTTTAGTCAATGTTATAAATAGTGTACCAATGCAAAGAGCATCCTACATAATATTGGCATTTATTGCCTGTTTTTCAGTGCAACATGGCTATTATTATCTCATTCTATTCAACTTCCAAGACGTTCACATGCTATATCATTCATATCCACCCCACAGATATATCCGTTTACCTGTAATCATAATTTCAAAAAGGAAAATAATAAGACAAATTTACAAACTACACAGTTTTATTTTTTTTTTTGAAGAAAAAATTTTCAATGAAAAGTTTCTGAGCTGTCGAGAGCACCGATCACAATATTTATGACACATTTTATACATTTATACTTAAGTATCAATAATAATAATAATAATAATAATAATAATAATAATAATAATAATAATAGTTATAATAATAATAATAATAATAACGACAGCAACAATAATAATTATGATAATAAATGAATGAAAAACAATGAAGTACATGTACAATGAAATAAAATTAGAAAAATATACAATAAAATAACAATAATAATGATAAATTAGTTCAAAGTTATGAAAACTCTGACGCTTTTAAAGTTGTAAATGCTGTAATCCACTTTGTATATTATTAACATATTCAATTGATAAATTTAAGTGGATGAATTTCAATTGTGCCAAATTAATAATCAATGAGAATAATTCTCGTTTTTTTCCCCATAATTCCATTATTGGAGGTGTTGTTTGTTGCTGCATTTCAATTAACTATCTAAAGATATATTGTCTTTATCAAAGCCAATGCTAATGGTGTTGTCGTCTGCAAACAAAGCCTAGGCGTTAATCATGCAAGCTCATCTTGATAAATTCTGATTACTTCTGAGTACATATGCACTCACTGATTTATTTGCTTTTTTCATTGGCTAAGAGGACCGGAACATCCTGATTATATCCTTTGGGGATTTAAGTTTGAATAAAATACAGTTAACATCTCTTAGGTGTCTTTAAAACTCAAATTGTTTTGTAAAATATACATTTATTTATTAAAAATGTATTCAGACACTTTTAAAAAAATACAGCATAATAAAATTTACTATTTTTCCTGTATTGAAAATGCTTAACGTAGGTAATTCTTTTCGGTGATACATACTACAAAATAACTCAAATAGCTATTTTTCAGAATATGTAAGCTATATTTGGTATTTCACCACGTCACTTATTTATCTTAAAAGAGCTGTACCATCCTTCATTATATACACAGTAATTTTGAGAAAAATATATTATAATTTAGTACAGAATAACGAATAGAGCAGAGCCAAATCGGAGAGTAGATTCAGTTGCCGCTAGCAGATCAATGGTTATAAAATACTTTCTTTTTTTAATAGATAGCAAATCTGTATTCATTGTATTTGAATGAATGAATGAATGAATGAATGAATGAATGAATGAATGAACGAATGAATGAATGAATGAATGCAAAACGATAGACTATAAAGGGGAATACGAACAAAGTTCCCAGAATGCAATACATGCACTTGAGTGAACGGAAGATTAATTGAAACAATTATATCTTAAGATAAAATATTAATACAGTATTAATGTTGACAGCCGTGACATCTTGAAGAAATCACTATATCACATTTTGGAGAAAACATTCAACGTTTTAGTTTGAGTGTGAATGTAGAATTATATTTCATAATTTTGATTTTTTTAAAGATGTATTTTACTTATTCGTAGGCGTGCAGCGTTATGCCCAACATACCGTTTTTTATCGAGTAAAATCTTGTAGATGGGTAGAACGAAACATGGGTGTCTAGATATAACTGTGACCATTCATCTACTGCATGATATTGTTTGTTTACGGGCATTTGTGAAAGTACAGAGGTATACTACTTCAAGCCCAAAATGCTATTAAATATGAAAACATGGTTGCCTGGAAGTAAATTTTGTTTTCTAAATCACAGTCCAGTCATATACTTCATGATATTACTTACTAATGGTCATTTATAATAATACAGAATTTAAGCACAATGTTTTAAGTTAAACAAAATAAGCTTGTGTGACATATCTTGGAAGTTTCTTCAGCTATTATTCATTATAACGGCACAGCACTGATGATAAGGTAGAACAAGCGGTCAGATTCCCAAGCAGAGCTGTGAAACCGTCTTCTTTTCTGTCCCTGCCGGATGTGGTATTCAAGGCCAATTAGGATTGCACATTTTCCCACGCTGTGACACACCGAATAACAAGTTTTTTTCTTATTTAACTCCGGACAATAGAGACCTGCTTGACATTCTGTTTGGCAATCTTGAAGTTTCATGAACAAATATATTTTATAATTACAGGGCCCCTGATGTTACCGAAGATAAAGACTACACAACTGAACTCAAATCTCTGAAAGAAAACATGCAGATTCTAGAGCAGAAACAGAAACTTCTGGACCAAGAGGAGCAAATTGTGGAGAGAGAGGAACTACTCGCAAAAAGACAAGAAAAACTTAAAGAATATGAAAAAGATGTAAGAATATCTATTACTTATATACACGGTATACCTGTATTAAATCACATTGTCAGCTTACATTATTCTAAAGACAAGTTAACAAGGATTTTTGAATTTGTTATTGATATTCATGTAATGATGTACCATATAAATTAGGCGAAGTTATGTCCTGATGGAACTCCACTGAGGTTAAAAAGCTTTTTAAAAAAAGAGTTTCTTACATAGATCAGCCGGGGTACTTAAAACATATGATGTGCAAAAAACAACCAAGAAAAATACTAAGAAATAAATTGAAATTCGTATTTTGTGTTTTTACATTTCGGATCATTTTATCACAACTAAAATAAGTATGCAGTATTAACGAAGTGAGCGAATGATGAGAAATTCTGCACACAAGTTATTGGTCTAGACCTACATCATTGAACATTAACCTTGAAAAACTATTCCCATTTCCGTCATGTCAAAAAACCTCAGTGGAGTCCTTTTAAGCACTGATGGCAGAAATTATCATCATGTGCATGTACTCCTTTTTGTGTTTTAATAAAAATACGTTAAGAAAGTTTCAGTGTCTAGTAAAACAGTTAATCATATGATAGCGAAATAATCCTCTTTCTAAATTCTATCTTTGAATCTTAAAATTGGTAAGTAATCGGCAACGGACATGTAGGGACTTAACTGCTGAAACTCTAAAGAATATGGTTGCCGTACCTTTCACAATAATTCTATAAAGCTCGCTCATAGATCACCAAAAATCTAAGTTAATTCAACCCGTATTTAAAAGCATATTATGAAGATAACAATTAGGTATAGTATCAATTACATGAGAACATGCAAGGGGGCATAAATCATATTTTTGATAATGTACATGTGGACGTAATCACCTTTAAACGGTATTTAAAACTTGAACTCAACTGAAAATATATACTAGTCCTTAAGGATCGATTTAGGATAAGGTGTGTCACTAGTGGTAATCATCGCATGATTTGTTAAGTGATGTGAAAATAATAATAACAATAACATAATCATCCCGAGTAATAAAGATAACCAAAGGCAATCAAGTTAAGTGAATCATTATAATTAGATCACAATATACGAATTAGTACAAAAGCATGTTTTGGTCATGTAAACATTATTAATTCCAAATCATTTTACGACCAAATGAGTAGACAAACTTGGCAAGATAGCCATAACATAAAATTGGGAGGGGAAAGGGGGAGGTATTTTGACCCATCCTTTTCATGAATCGTTTATAGTAGCAATTAGTTATGCATAATTACTTGAGATAGCGTTCATTTACATTAAAAGGAGTGTTATATCATCACCGATTCAAGCATCGTCAATTTTTGATGATGATACCAGTCTTACGGTATAATGCCAGTTTTTTGTACATGAGAACATTTAAACAGAAACGTTTGCTAGCCTTAGAACCACGGCTAAATTTATGTACCGAAGATCAGTTTCGGTAATCTTTCAACATGACGATATATAAAGAATTGTCCATATGTGAAATTCTGTGATTGATATACAAGCCACCACAAGAACCTGCAGCGAATAATAATAGCTCAACAATAGCATCATGTATCAGATGGCTTTTTAGAACCAAAGTGAAAGTTTCTTGACATTTACAAAACAACAAAATCAACAACAATTAATTGTAATATTATTGTCATTTATTATGTAACAGAAGTGTATAAATACTATATTGTTTCAACAACCACAAGAAATACATTGGACGCTACTAAGGTCATATAGTGCACATATGCGCATAACTTACAATAATCATTGTCATCCATTATGGAATAATAGAACGGGACTAAAATTGATGATATTGTAGCAAATTGGGTTACCCATTATAACACATAGTTTTTGTTCATTTACGATTTAATGAATATTTTATAACAGTTTTCTCTTTAAAGTAATTGATTTGCGACATAAAACATTTTTAATGAATTCATTCTCAGTTAATCTAAACCGAAACATGTACGATGTCTCCAGATTTCAGTTTTGTTACTGACGTAATAAACATTAAAACAATTTTGAAATACAAGAAATGACATTTTTATGTAAGAAATGACATTCTTATGTCGCAAAACTTTTAACATTGTGATACTAAGGCACCATACAGTGTAAAATAAATATGTTACAATACATATTTCATTAAATAATATATATTTCTGATTTATATTGAACATTAACTTTTAAAGCAATACGCCTCAAGAACACATACTTGGAAAGCAATACTTATTAACAATACAAATCTTCAGAACTTATTTATATTAGTGAACAATTGCTTTTAAATGAAGAAACAATTTAAATAACTCATGAAAAGTAAAAATATTTACAATACAAGATTAGTGATGATTTGCGCGTTTATGCAAAATTTGGTATAATTTATCCTCTGATTTACCTATGTCTAAAGGCGTAAGTGCTTTTCTTCATATCTTGACACGCACTATTAGTTACTCGTAATTAATGTTCATATTTAATACTTTTGACTAACTTATTATATACCTTAATTTGTATACTGGATATCTCCAATATTTTCTATAAAATCTTATCTAAAAATCTGGATACAAGCTGCTCTATGAATATAAGCTTAAATCCTTTGATCGGAAGAATGAAAATGGCAGATGTTTTTTTGTTGTTGTATTATTTCTGTATTTTACTTAAATACAAGTCAAAATTATCTCCACAATTACTATCTCACAACACGTGCCTTGTATGATAAAGATTACTTTCATTAAGGCGGAATATTTTATGAACGACTGGTGGTGTTTTAATTAGTGCTGCTTTTCGTTTTGGCGTAAATAACTTTGTTTTCTAATTTCCAACAAGTAAAAATCTATGGAAATTTAATAACAAAGATGGATTCAGCGCTTAATTATGTGCTGAACGAAAGGTCATGTTTGAAGATAGCAGAATATATGTTCTAGAGGAAGATGAAATTCAATTTTCACATGGACTCATATATTAAGGCCAAAGATATTTTCACTTGGTGCTACATGTATATTAATGTAATTTAGTTGTTTATAATTTCAATCGTTTTGAAATTATGTGTAATTAAAATTTGCGTGGAAAGTGAAATTCAGCACAAATTATTTGAACTGCCGTTGTTCTTTATAAGTTAATGTTGAAAATTCTGACATGTAAGAAAATGAATAAGATCTAAATTTTCTACAAATCTAATATATATTGTTTTATAGCCAAGAACAAGGAATAGATAAAAATACTTTAAATGGTCTTAAGATGTTAGGACATATGTATCTTTGCATTGTAATCATTTTCGGACGGAAATGCTTTTAAAATTTCTAGCATATTTTGTTTATGTGACAATACTGTTTTATTTAGCGGAAGCGGAAATACCAATTGAAAAAAACGCAATAAAAGTAAAACATAACTCAGCTGTATGGGCAATGAGTAACTTTTTATGCTCCCCAAAAAATTTCGGGGGAGCATATAGTCGGCGCCTTGTCCGTCTGTCTGTCCGTCCGTTGTCTTGTCCGGAGATAACTTGAAAACTCTTGGAGATAATTTGTTGAAACTTCATACAGTGGTAGAGGGCAATGAGGGGGAGTGCAGTGTCAAAGAATCATAACTCTATTTTGCCCGGTTTTTGAATTATCTCCCCTTATAGAAAAATCTTGTCCGGGGCATAACTCAAAAACTATAAGAGATATCAACATGAAACTTTGTAGGTGAATAGATCTCAATGGGAAGATGTGCAGTGCATAAGAACAATAACTCTTTTTGTCCTAATTTTGGAGTTATTGCCCTTTGTTAATTTTAACACTCTGAACTTTGTCCGGAACATAACTCTAAAACTATAAGAGATATCAAGATGAAAAATTGTAGGTAGATAGATCTCATTGAGTAGAGGTGCAGTGCAAAAGAACTATAACTCTGTTAAGCCTCATTTATTAATTATCTCCCCTTTTAGAAAAAATCTTGTCCAGGACATAGCTGTAAAACTATAAGAGATATCAACATGAAACTTTGTAGGTAGATATATCTCAATGGGTAGATGTGCAGTGCACAAGAATCATAACTCTGCCTTGCCTAATTCTGGAGTTATTGCCCTTTGTTTTTTTTTTTACTTTTTGAAGTTGTCCGGGACATAACTCGGAAATCATAAGAGATATCATCAAGAAACTTTGTAGGTTGATAGATCACATTGATTAGAAGTGCAGTGCAAAGAACAGTAACTCTGCCTTGCCTAATTTTGGAATTATTGCACTTTAAACTTCTCCAGGGACATAACTCTGAAACTACAAGAGGTGTACTTTCCTGTGTCCAAAACCTATTCGGGGAGCATCACCCGGCTCAAACCGGGCTCTTGTTTGAAAATTGGAATTGAGATGTCAACAGCTTTTGAAAAATAAAAAAAAGATAACATTTTTTAAAGCTTCTTTAATTGCAAAATAGCGAGAGCTATGTAACAATAATTACGCAGAAATTTGCTAAACGTTCATTCTTATTAAGATTCTGATTGTCGGTTACCAATCTTTTAGTCGACAAAGTACTTGCATATTAGATCGATTAATGAACGCAAGTTATCGAATGCAATACATTTAAATAAATGCATTTTCAACTTTTGATATAAATAATTATTACATTTCCATTTTATCCGTTTTAGCATTTATTATAAACATGTACCTTCATTTGCCGTATATGTCACTAACATAGTATTTGCTCTTCATTATTTGCTCGTATTTCAGAGATAAATATTATAAGTATATAATAAAGCCTCGGTCTCACTTACTCCCGGCAGAGCCCAGGACTATCCCGGTAAGTTACCGGGATGATCCGGGACGATCCGGGATGAAATTATTGTTGCGGTCACACTTACCCCGGCAGCACTACGGTAGTTCCCTACTAACCACCCAGGATGCGCTCCGGATCATCCAGGCAGAGCCCAGGTGAAGCTACGGTTCATGCCGGTGCTTCCCCGGTCGTTCCCGGATGACGCCGGAAGAGCCCCGGTTGACCCAGGCAGAGTCCCGGTGGATTGAAAACGCCCGAAAATGATAACATTGATACATAATTTTTATTTAATATAATATCTATTGTTTCGGAATAGTAATTCATGATGATTTTCTGAAAAATCCTTATGCCATACTGGATAGAAGGGAAATGGGAAGGCTTTTAATACAAACAAGTGCAATCATCGCAAATTGTCGTTATTCTCTTGAAATGATCCGGGCTTTGCCGGGGCTCTACCGGGATCAACCGTAGCTCTACCTTTATCCTCCGGGGCTCTGCCTGTAGTTACCGGGGCTCTGCCGGCATATACCGGGGCTCTACCGTAGCTCTACCGTAGCTCTACCGGCTATATCAGACCCCGGATCATCCCCGGTTTGTGCCGGCAGAGCTACGGTGCTTTCCCGGTATAACCCCGGTCGTTCCCGGCAGAGCTAAGGATGAAGCCGGGAAAGCTATACCTTCCCGGATCATCCCGGACCACCCCGGTGATATTAAATATTTTATTCCATCCGAGGTCGAATCCCGGATGTTCCCGGATCAACCCGGATCATCCAGGACGTTGCCGGCAGAGTTACGGATGTACCCCGGTTGTTCCCGGTAGTACCCCGGTCGTTCCCGGATCACCCCGGACGTTTACCGGGGCTCTGCCGGGATGTAAGTGAGACTGTAGCTTAAATAACATAATATTTCGTATTTATTGAGAACATATTATTTATTTTTTTTCTAAAAAAGGTATGAAATTACGGTTTTCATTGGAATTCTAACAAATAGGTTTTGTACTTTTATATTAACAATATAATGCAATGACTGGACGGAAATTATGACATTAGGAAATGCAATAATATTACTATTGCAACTTTGTTGAATATCAATGTGTTAGTGCATAAAGTATCTATTATAGACAAGCCCATGTTCACGACTAAGAAATAACTTATTTATGACGTGTGTAGATTATCACTAACACTTTGGTAATGTGATGATATGTTATAAAATAATTGTACAGTTACAAACGGTCTCCTGTGGGGTAATATAGAGGTCATTAATATCAAATGTATGCCGACTATACATGTTTGATGTCGTCATTGTGCCTAATCAATGTACGTAATAGAATATGCAAGAATGTATGTAAAAGCTCATCTTCGAATCGGCAAAACAACATAACATAACATATTAGTTCTTTTGAATATTTAAATACTGTTACACGCTAAGATTGGATAATAGGGGAAGTACAAAATTGATTGTATACCGTGTATATATTAAATCTATGTTATTATGGAAAATGTATTATGTCATTGGTTATTTATCATTTTGCATGTTTGTAACATCACTTTGTATTGGATAAACATGACTGACGTCAATTTATGAAGCCATTTCAATTTTTAGCTCGACTATTCGATAAGAATAAGTAGAGCTATTGTAGTCACCCGAGCGTCGGCGTCGGCGTAACCACTTATGTTAAAGTTTTTGTAATAGTTCAAATATTTTCAAAGTCCATTGACATATGGCTTTGAAACTTTGCACACTTGTTCACCATCATGACCCAAACCTGTAGACAGGAGGAGGTAACTCTATCAAGCATTTTGACAGAATTATGCCCCCTTTCGACTTAGAATTTACGTTAAAGTTTTTGTAATAGTTCAAATATTTTCAAAGTCCATAGACATATGGCTTTGAAACTTTGCACACTTGTTCACCATCATGACCCCAACCTGTAAACACGAGGAGGTAACTCTATCAAGCATTTTGACAGAATTATGCCCCTTATTCGACTTAGAATTTACGTTAAAGTTTTTGTAATAGTTCAAATATTTTTAAAGTCCATAGACATATGGCTTTGAAACTTTGCACACTTGTTCACCATCATGACCCCAACCTGTAAACAGGAGGAGGTAACTCTATCAAGCATTATGACAGAATTATGCCCCTTTTTCGACTTAGAATTTACGTTAAAGTTTTTGTAATAGTTCAATAATTTCAAAGTCCATTGACATATGGCTTTGAAACTTTGCACACTTGTTCACCATCATGACCCCAACCTGTAAACAGGAGAAGGTAACTGTATCAAGCATTTATTACTATCAAGCACTAAGAATAGTCGAGCGTTGCTGTCCTACCGACAGCTCTTGTTTTATCTAAGGTCTTTTGTTATATTTGTTAACAATTCTTGACAGTTGGCCGTATGAATATATGCAACAGCCGTTTATATACTAGGTCATTCATATAACATGTCAAAAATCATGATAACTAATAACATACGTGCTTGTTAGTTTCCTTCCGTGTATGATATATACTATTTTGCAAAATATGCATTTTTTTAAAACCTGTTTTCTTTCTTTCTCTGTTTATATGCAATTTCATTTTACACAAGGGTTCCTTTGTACATGTTGTATTTCATTTTTCCAGAAATTGGATAATATGTAAAATATTGTGAAACTATGAAGATTGAAGCTCAAACTGAGGCCATATTTCACTTACTTAACAAAATAACCCTACTGAGTGCAACCGAGTGCACCGTTTAATGTACTTATATATTTTGTCGGACATGTATTCATTCGACGTTCTTTGAAAGATATAAAAAAATTCATATAAAATCATGGTACCAATACGCTGAAATATCATAGAAATTATTCTTATATTTTTTTTCTTCTTCTATATGTTATTTCTATTTCTTTCTTCTACATATTTCTAAGGTCGAAGAGGCTGAGGCATTACTTGACAAAAGGCAAAATGTGGTCAAAAGACGCTCACAAGATGTTGAATTCCTGAACCACGTAAGTACTTACAATGTAATTAATGTATAAAAGTATATCAGGTCCCTTCGAGACAGATAGTGAATCGAGATTTTGTCTATTTGAAAGTAAACACAATATGAGCCGCGTCACGACAAAACCAACATAATGGGTTTGCGACCAGCATGGATCCAGACCTGTTCGCTTACAAACCCTATACCAAGTAGAGAAACTGATAGCGAACAGCATGGATCCTGATCAGACTGCGCGGATGCGCAGGCCGGTCTGGATCCATGCTGGTCGCAAACGCACTATGTTGGTTTTGTCGTGACGCGGCTCATATAGAAAAGGCAATGTTTTATACCGATGAGACATAACTATCCAACAGTTTATTCATATAAGGAGGACGTTGAAACATTTGAAAATTAGATAAAACGTCTGAAAATTGGTATTTTTAAGGAGATTATTTCGAAAGGGTTGAAATAGAAATCTTGTAAAATATTTAATAGAGCTCTTTTGTTAAATTTATGTACCATATTGCATTACATAATGACCCACCCTCGTACCCCATTTTTAACATAATTAGTGTTATTATTATCATAATCTTTTCATCATCACAGTAACGTCATCATATGTAGATAAATCATCATCATCATAAATCATCATCATAATCATCATCATTATCATCATCATCACCACCACCTTCACCACAAACATCAACGCAATTATCATCATTGACACAGCTTCGTATTTAAGTGTTTTAGAGAATGTTAGATGCTTGTTACCTGGATGTAAAAGTAGCAAAATGTAAGTAAAGTAGTTTTTTGACGTCCGCACAAAATACTAATTCACTATAACTGTATTTATTGCCCCCCCCCCCCCCAAAAAAAAAATAAAATAAAATAAAAATAAAATAAAATAAATAAATAAATAAAAAATAAATAAAATACAGATGAAAAAGATGGTTCAGGTAACTCGTCATTGAGCAACTTTTTGGATACTATGAAAGTACAACAAAATTAAAACGTTCTTGAGAAATAAAAGTAAACTGGGGCATAATGGGCCTTTAAAGGAATTGATCATAGCTATGGTACTTATAGTTATCGAGTACAACACAATTGAAACGTTCTTGAGAAATAAAAGTAAAACCATTTCTGGGGCATTACGGGCCTTTAAAGGAATTGATCATAGTTATGTTACTTATAGTTATCGAAGTTGGTTTGTTCTCATTACAAAAACACAAGTTCAATGAATTATGAAGCTGTCTTAATTTTGCGGTAATTAGGTGCGAACTATTTTATGTGTTAACGGCGTCACTAAAGTCCAATGATCTAAGGAAGAAAGTAACAGAAAGAGCGTCGAAATACGCGGAAATCTAATTTGTATGAGGGAGCGTAGCACCCGAGGAGAAATCAGATAGTTGATTGTTTAGATGTTCTTTCTCTTTTGTTACATAGGCAAAATTAAAATACTTTCCCTGCCGTCATAATATGAAAACCCCAGAAAAAAATTTAACCAATCTACGAGCATGTTAAAATGACTTCTTAATTGTTCATGTCACGTATTCAGTTAAGTAAGTGCGCTGTGTAACACCGCACTTTGGGGTCAAACGCACTTTGGGGTCCGACCCCAAAGTGCGTTACGTACTTTGGGGTCCGACCCCAGAGTGCGCTACGCACTTTGGGGTCCAATTTCGACCCCAAAGTCCGTTAAACAGGTACATATGCATTTTTTAACATCAGGCAAACGACCGCACTTTGGGGTCATAGAAAGTTAATGTTCAATATGTTTTAAATAATATATTGTAGTCAAAGCCAATGGTAAACGTATTAAATAGACACAAACATGTGCCCTGAATTATAGTAGAATAAATAGGGATTTAAATGGTCTTGATTAGTAAGTGAAGAACTTTCACCAAATAAATCACCAAATAAAGAATTTGTATCAATTATTAAGCTTAAAATATTTTTTCACAAATTTTCCATTTATTTTAAAAGAATGTACACCTTTCATTAACTCCCTTGTTTTTAGCTAAATGCATTATTTTCCCGTTTTTTATAAATTTATTTACACATTTTATAGAAATATGATAGTCTTAGCATAGACAAAGGTATAAATTCTGGGAAATCTTAGTAAGACATTTCAGTAAAAACTGTGCGTGATAATATGTTGAAAGAGCCATTTATTTAGCTAAATGTGACATATGTGAAACTTGACTAGGTGTAGACGCGGCTTTAAGTAGTAGTCCGTACAAACAGTACTCAAAATATCAACTATTTAGGTAGTCGCACATTAAGAGCGAAGCTTCAGAATAATGTAAAAATTCTCCCTGGGGGTATAAAGGGGATTGTTGGGTATCGATCCCCCTGAGGGTAAAAAAAAACGTTTTAAAGGCCCATTATGCTTTTATTTGTTTTTCTTAAAAGCTTTTTTATTTTGATGTTCTTCTATATTATCAAAAAAAAAATACACATTGGCCAATTACCTGAACCATCTTTTTCATCTGTTGCTTTTTGGCAATGATGAGTACAGTTATAGTGAAAGTAGTTTATATGGAAGTCAAATACTACAGTGTTTTGACTTCTTTTATGACAAATAATTTCACATTTATCGCTACTTTTTCAGGTAACAAGCGTCTTACATTTCTCAGATACCACCATCTTTATAACATTTTAAAATTCGTGTTTGCTCTTTCTAAAGAAGTATGAAAGATTTCCCATAAAAAGCCTCTGGCGAACGGTTGTTACGGAGCTTACAAAAACCCTTAAGTTGATAAGCTTAATAATTTATTTGTAAAAATCACTATTTATAGTCCGATCGAAAACCTTGATGTCTCACCAGAACATTGCAATAGAGTATAGTTATAGTTCTTTGGAAAAAATATTAACTGCATTTTATTTCATTCCCAGCATATTTAAAATGTGGCTCAATATGGCATCAAAAGTTATCAAGTAAATGAGCGACAGAACGGAATATCCCAAAGAAAGGTTTTGAATATGGTCTCGATGTGGTTAACATTTGTCACAAGGTGCCTTAAAATCCTTCATGGGGTTTCGGAAATAAGGAGCAGACATGAAACCAAGTGTATCCTTTGACCTGTAGGTGTGGCCCCGACCTTGCGCCGGCACACCTGGCATATAAGTTTTGCACATTATCTGGATGTGCTAAAGAATTGACCTAAGTTTCATAATTCTCAGGGGGTAGGGTTGAGTGGTGCATAATCATGGAATAATAACTGATCCCCAATCAACAGCCCTTTCCAAATAGACACTAATATAATAGTAGATAATAATAAAAAAACAATAATTATATAAAATACATATAATATAAAAAATGGGCCGAAAAAGGGTCGGCCGAAACCAGACTTGCCCGGCCGAAAACGACTGGGTCGCATTCCAAAAATGGGCCGAAATGTGACCAAACCGCTGTGATAGTTTTTTATACTCAAACTATGAGTTGTTATGAGGTTTGAAGGCTGTTTTGATTGGCTAAAACTATGTATGAAAAACAAAAATAAAATATGTACGAAAAACAAAAATTAAATATGAATGCAAAACTAACAAAATATGTTATGCAAAACTGAAAAAAGTATGTATGCAAAACTAAAATAAAATATGTATACAAAAAAAAACAAAAAAAAAATTCAAATGTCACTTTTATGCCAACGTAATTTTGTTATATGAACACATTTTTTTTAGATATTTCAAGTGGTAAAATTAATGAAACTTTTATCACTTAAGCATCATAAAGTATGACCGCCATCTTGAACTCCACCTCAAATATTCCAATGTCGCAGATAGAAAAATAAGTCAGTACTGCAGTATTTAAAGCAGAACTCAGATGATACCTTTAGACATCTTGAACCCAAAGTGCGTTGATATGTAGCATATTAACGCACTTTGGGGCCAATTTCTCGATTTTGACCACAAAGTGCGTTGGACCCCAAAGTGCGGTGCGAAGTTTAACGCACTTTGGGGTCGGACCCCAAAGTGCGTTTGACCCCAAAGTGCGGTGTTACAGCGCTGGAAACAGTAAACGATTATGTAAATAACATAATTTATTCTTAAATTACAAAAATGAAATCATTCGTGAAAATTCATTTTTACACTAAATCCCCATCGTTTTTAAAAAAGGAACATTTCTGAGAACAAATATTTTGTAGAATCTAGAAACACAGTACGGCTGTACCAAAGTTAACGTACGGTATACAATTGCTTTGCTGTAACAAATAAAATATTCATAACTGTGTATACTAATAAGTACAAGTATTTAATTAAAGAAAACCTCACAATAAGGTTGTTTTTTTTTTCTTTTCCCCAGTCGATAAATGCTTACGTTATACTTGTGTGTTCATGGTGACGATGATGTTGTTTTATACGATATAATATATCGTGTCACGAAACGAATACACACCCAATTATTGAACCCCCATACAACACATATGAATAAAAGAATAAGGTAATATTACATACAGTTACTTTGCGGCTAGAAAATGATTAAACACCTTGTCGCAGAACATTATCTGCTAATTTACTCATTATTGGCACAGAGTTTTCTCCGTTGGCAAAAATCATTATTCTACTATACGCTTTACAGTAATGCTTGCTGTGGATTGGAGATGTTAGGATTTAAAAAAAGCATGTATGTAAAAATTTTGTAGTAATCTTTTTGTCTAAAATATGTTTAAGATAATGGTTAAAAGATCAGAGAATGATTCTGAATTGCATCAGTTTTTCGTGACAGTAATATGGTACTAAATTGTTTTGCATAGGATATCATACTGAATTAAAATATATTCGAAACATTTTATTTTTGTTTGAATTTGTTAATCATTCACTGTTAGACAATAAAGCCAAATATTTTTACTAGCTAGCTCAGCTTTTACGTACTTTGGTTCAAACACTTGACAAGACTTACATAGCTTAGTCGATTACGCGTGGTGTTTTATGAACATTGAATGTATTGGAATGTATTGGACACATTTGCAAGTGTTTATAAAAGGTTTATATTAGACAAAGAGAATGATGAAAAAGTGATGAAATGTGTCAGTACACTTAATCGGAATATGACTGAATGTGGCTAAATGCGCCTATTACAGTTTACATATAAAATAAGAAGTACAGAAAATTGATTATATTGTACTATACAACAATGTTTGGATTTTTATTGGTTGAAAATCAAAATGGTTTAATTGGAGTTCTTCTTCACTCCTCCACTCCCAGACAAAAGTTGCTTCGATTTTTATTACTACCATTAATTCATTATTTTTTCAATACATTTGTACACATTGAGAAAGAATTGTTTCCTGTGGCAGTAAGGACAATGTCAACAAACTGTTATATTTAGATCTATCAAACTGTCTGACATGGTTAAGGAAAAATAACTACAATGTATGTTAAACCATTAACCTGCTAAATTTCTTAGAATTGTTAAGTTTCTATTTTTAAAACTCTTGCTCTACACTGGTCAATCATTAATGTCTTTCAGTTCCCGAGTTTAAAGGTTAAAGCGGCATTCAGTTTCTATTTGCTGATGGATAATCAATTCTATGTAGTTTCAAAATAAGCATTTCCGTAATTTTATCTTTAAAAAGTACTCATATCACTATTAAGCCATCTCCAAAACAGCGTTTCGAGAGTTATTTATAACTCGTTAGTGACGTTCATTTCTAAAAATAGAAGATGGGGAAATGAATTTTTATTCTAATATAGCGAGCGGACCGGTAGATTACAGGTATCAAGGATGTCCTTATTGTTTATCTATTTTATCGTCGGCAATTTTTTAAAATTTGTTTGATTTGACAATTATATGAAACGATCCAACAATAACATAATTAACCTTTAAAAAAGATGAAAGCCGCTTTAATTTTGTTACATCCTCAGTAACATCAAATATGCACCAGTAACAGTGATAAATAGTTAATTTCAGTTTGCCATCCAATAATTGGAATTCGATACCAATTTATAATTACCTTAACTCGGAGGCTTAGGTTGCAAATGTTTATTCATTAGCATATGAAATGACCGAAAGTAAAAACATCATTGATGTAATTAGAAAAGGAATGTACTATGATCTTTCTGTTGAACAAGACCTAATTTTGATTTTAAAAAGTAGCATATCTCAATAAGCATACCATAAGTTATCGTATGGTATTTATGGTATATGTCACACATAATCATGCCAATTACTCAACTTCTAATTCTTAACAACACCATTTATATATACATATACATGTAAATGATAATTTGTCAATTTAATTGCATGTCAGTCCTATTTGATAGGACTAATTTTGTAGTTCCACACTCATTTGTATACGGAAACGTGTCACACTATAGAAAATTTAATCGATAACTATCTAATCTAACCAAACATTAAAAGAATCGGTTAAAAGATCAAACAGGGAGACGAACATAGTTTCATTGTCATTTACATAACCATCACATCACGACACGGGCTTTTCTGTATCTAAGAACGCCATCATATTTTCTATTTCTGACAGTAGAAACTCATTTGAGCCGCGTCACGACAAACCAACATAATGCTTTTGCGACCAGCGCAATCTGATCAGGATCCATGCTGTTCGCTTACAAACCCTATTACAAGTAGAGAAACTGATAGCGAACAGCATGGATCCTGATCAGACTGCGCAGATGCGCAGGCTGGTCTGGATCCATGCTGGTCGCAAACGCATTACGTTGTTTTTGTCGTGACACGCGGCTCATTTGTGCTGCGTCACGACAAAACCAACATAATGCTTTTGCGACCAGCGCAGTCTGATCAGGATCCATGCTGTTCGCTTACAAACCCTATTACAAGTAGAGAAACTGATAGCGAACAGCATGGATCCTGATCAGACTGCGCAGATGCGCAGGCTGGTCTGGGCAAACGCATTACGTTGTTTTTGTCGTGACGCGGCTCATTTGTATTTACTCGGATGTTTTACAGGACCTGTTGACTATAAAACAGGAGCTAGAAGAATCTATAGACAAAGCAGAAAACAATATGGACGATTCAGATATCAGTAAGACCGATGAAGCATCAGGAGAACAAACAGAAAGTTTCACAAGTAATCTTATTAACTCTCCAGAAACCTCATGTAAAGCAAGACGTAATTGGTAAGTAGGTCAGCTTCCTCTCGAGATATTGACCTCAATTTGTGCCTCATTTAGTACAGGAATTTTTATATGGACCAAGTAATAATTGTGAACAAAATGTCACAATGGAATAACAAATTGAAAGGCTATACTTACTTACAGACCATTCCTAACATAATTAGTGCGTTTTGTATGGTGGCTGATTTGTGCCATTCGTGTTTTCTCCCCGCGACCCCGCCAAGCGAAAAGTCGAGAATTAACAAGTTAAAATGGCGGGCGCGCGGAGCGAAAACACGCTAATAAGCGGGCGAAGTTGAATAAATAAAACTTAAAGCGGCGGGGGAGGTTGGCGCGGAGCGAAAACACAAATGGCGCAAATCAGCCATCATACCATAGTTGTGTGTTTTGAACAATAGATTTTTCTATATTTATCTAACAAAAACTACTCCGAATACGAATTCTTATTTTAATCCGAATGTATCTTTTTGTTTTCGTTAAAACATCAAATCACACAAGAATATAAAATTTATTTCAGTTCTTATTAAGGACTAGTGTTTGTTCACAATTAGTTCCGTCGGTAAATATTGATGTAATGATCTGTTATAAAGTATTTGTATTTGAAATTATTTCAGGCAGCTAGCTCGACGTCATTTGATAGACAAAGTAACCTTGTTAGAAACTACAATACAACGATATAGGACACAAGTGGCCTCCTCAACGGCTACCATAACTGCCAAAGACATGGTCATCTCCAGACTTCAAAAAGATGTAAATATTTGCCTACATCTTTGGTTTAAACATATTTATTTAAGCTCGATGGCGAAACAAGTTCTTGCAACTTATATTAATCACTTTCGAGTCCGCTTCCTGGAACCAACCAGTACTGGTGTCATTATGAATAAACATGGTCGTGACCCTAGAAGGGCTCGAAACCATGATCTCTGGGTTGAGAGACAGACACCTTAATCACAAGGCCACCGCTCCCTACATCTTTAAAGGCACATTATGCCTCAGAAATCCTTTTTTTCAAATTCTTTAGAAATGTCAAACATTAGAAATGTTAACACCTGAAAAAATTGCACTGAATGTGCAGTAATGTGTCATAAAGGTAGCGGAATGTCAACAGAGTAGTATTTTGACTTCCATGTAAAATACTCAGTCATTATGATTATACCCATTGCCATCAGAGCAGAAAAAGTAAAAGATGATACATCTAGGTGGCAAATGAATATTTTTATGAAATTGTAACAAGATACCAAAATATTTTGAGAAAAAGAAATGATTTCTGAGGCACGATGGACCTTTAATTGTATACACTAGAGATACATTTTTTTCTTCTAAAGAAGCGAATTTTCTGAAAAACAATAGCAGTTTTCCATTTCTCTCATAGTTAGTTTGGAATTTTATCTGGTTATCTCAACTACAAAATATGTCCATTTTCTAAAAAGTTTATGCTTGTACTTTTATCTTTAATAACATGAAAATGTTTTGAATAGTTCAGTGTTTGAAATGGTTTATTTCAGTAAACATACGTTTTTGCTTCCTTTGTTATTTTTTCACAATTCCTGTTGCCTTAGAAATCTTGAAATTGTTTGAAAAGTTATCGTTATTTTATCTTTTCGGATAAATTGTGAGGAGGAGGTTGTGATAAGTATAAATTTATAAGATTAAACGATTTCTTTCCATTTTTTTTATATAAAACCGTTTTCATATAAAACGTCATTCTCCGAGTCTGCAATTTTCATGTAATTTTGATATTTAAATGCTTCCGAAGGATAACCCCTTTTCCAGATTTTTATTCTAGAAATTTTATTGGTTTTTTTTTAATCATTTTTTTTATTAAATCCTAAAGCTTAAGTTTCATCTACTTTTTGAATAATTATAAAGTAATAATAGTTATGTAGATATTATCGTTTTTACCTAGTATTTGATTTCAAGCAATATCATGTTCCAGGTGTAATTTAGTTGTATATGCTTATTAATGACACGCGATCCTTATTTAACGCTCACGCTAGATTACCCCTTGAAGGAGATTTATATTAATTGTTTGCGTTATTGGCAAATTAAGTTACATATGCAGATATCAGAAAATAATTACTTATAATTCCACGATGGTCCCAAAGCGACTATTTCTCTCACTAAATCGATTTTGCGTTAAGGCTGTGAACCCGTGTATAATATCCAATTGGCCTGGACTCTGATTTGCAAATAGATAAAAAAAACAATATACAATAAAGATATTCATATCTATTCAAAGTTACAAATCAGGACCTTTTGTTCAACATTATTCAGGGAGACATGTTCATCCGGTTAAGAAAAATCTTTGTCATTGTGGACTAATTGTTAACAATTGATTTCCCGATTTTCTTTTCAGGCAACAGAGTTACGGGACGAGCTTGAAATGAAGGAAAAGAAGATAAAAAAGCTCGAATCTCAACTAGCTCTTTCACTCGAAGACAAAACACGGAGTGAGAGAAAGTTAGAAATGCTTTTAGAGGAGTTACAGAACATTGACTTGAACGCAACAGCGAAGGTTTTGTCTAGTCCGGAAAAAACTCCGTCGAAAAATGATACAACGAACAAAAGAAAGTTTATGAAAAAACAGCATTCGATGTTCTCCTTTTTAGCTCATCACATAGGTGATAAAAATGACAGAAATGACAATTCTACGTCTCCTGGACTTATCCGGCGTAGAACTTTGCTAGAAAGGGAACATGTGAAAAGTGGACCAAATACGCCAGTCAAAGGCGTTTCTAATAATAGTAGAATGGACGAAATTCGAACAGAGAGCGTTAATTCTCATAACGAATCTGAAAGAAATGCGGACGCGGGGGCAAAAGCAGACGACACGTATTCTTTATCAGAACTGCATGGTGATTTAGGAAGTAAAGCATGTACTGTGATGTGAAAGAAATATATTTGGCTAGTTTGTTTTCCTTTTTCTATCTATGCTCAGAAATTGACATAGAAAACTGCTTATCTGATGATTAAAAGATCTGTTCTCATCGCACAAGTTTCATATTTGTTTTTAGTATGGATTCATAATTATACTGTTAAGCTTTTGAGTATTTAAAGGTACATTATGCCTGAAACAAATATTTGTTTCTTCTTTTAAAAAAAGGAAAACATGATTTATATAACCTTGTATTAATGTAATATGCTTGTCACCTACAAAAATAGCACTGAATGTTAAAATTGTCATAAAAGAAGCGAATGTAAAGTAGTATTTTGATAAAAAAAAATACTAAGTCACTTAAACTATACTTATTGAAGAAATAAAGGGCTCAGTTAATACGCAAATGAGTAACTTTTTGATCATTATTAAAGTACACCAAAAAAAATAAATAAAAATGTTGTTGAGAAATAAAAATAAATAGTATTTATTGGGCATAATGGGCCTTTAACAGTAAGTTATTACGACACTTTCACTTGTGAATTACCTGTATCACGGCATATAAATACACAGAAAGTTTTAATCGAATATATATGCAAATCACAAAGCTATATAGACTTTTTTAAATTATATTTTGTGTCAGATGAACACTTTAATAATATGTATTATACTTTTTTATATAGAGTACTTTTCTTGTGAAAGGTAATTAAGATATATTAATATATATAATGGCACTCTCATTGCTTTATATGGAAGCATGCCATTTTACAATTATTGACTAGTGAGTTATTGAATATGATGTGATATTCACCGGCAAATGACATATTGACCGAGGCGATAGACGAGGTCAGTATGACATTTTTGCCGGTGAATATCACATCATATTCAATGAGTCATTAGTCAGTAACTGTTTTATTATATGATAAGCATAATATTAAAATACGCACACAAAAAGTAAAGCCTAACATTAAAAATAGGTAATCAATATATTGTACATGCCTAAATCATATTCACCCAGTGAATATGATTTACGCACGCGCAATCGATTGCCTTCCTGTATGGTTATTTTCCTGTATGTGTCATATTCTATTTTTAGATTGGGAAAATTCGGCTATTTCATCCAGTGAATATGATAATACACCCAGTGAATATGATTTTATGATTTGTTATGTTGACTACTGTTTGAACCAATGAGATTGCAGCTATTATTAGATCATATAATAAAAGAGATTGTAAAACGATGCAACGGCTAGAATTGAATGAAAGCTATTTTGCAATAAAATCTTTGATGTCGATAAAATGAAACCTTGTCTATTCCACAAAAGTTCTTGTTCATCATACTTTAGTTTACTTATATAACAAAATCATCCAAATGTACAATCCTAAACGGAATAGTTGCTTTAGATTTAATTGCAATATTATGTATTAGGGATCATCCCAGTAAAAATCTGTTTTATTTTTATTTTTCTATACTTCTGTTTAATTGTAAATAAGCAATTGATACAGTATACACTCTACAGAACGACCATCTGACGACCAACTACCTCTTAAAAGCACCTCAATCATTTCTACCGAAAGTAACAATTCACAACACATTTTACCTCTCTATAACAACACTTCTCATTCTTAGCAACAACCAATTATTGTTTCTCCCAAAGGGTGTTTCACTGCACAGGTTGTACTGTAATCATGATGCTATTTTTTATTCTTTTATAGAGTTTATTTAAATTAAAGAAATAAATATTTCATGTATTAATTGATATAATGTTATGATAATAAATGACTTAAAAAGGATATTTATTGTCATTATTTTTACGCATTTTCTAAGGTTTCATTTTACTTAATTTTCAAGTCAACTGGGACTAGAATGAATTCATTCTTAGAGCGGCATGCCTCAAGATTCATGCTGATGTTAATGAAAATTTAAACAAATGTATTTCAATGTGAAATAATCTGAATTGAACAAAGAATATAAGTTACACATTGCAAACAAAATTGTAACAGTCTCATAATAGATATAAAGTGGATTTTATTACAGAAAATAGAAAAGAGAGGTAAGTAGTATAATAAATCAGACAAAAACAAAAACTGCATGCATTAATGTGTAGGCTGGCCTGCTGGCATAATAATGACTTGTTTTGTCACAGGTAGCATAAAAAACACAGTTTCCGAAGGCTTTATTGAGAAAAAAGATGTTTTGTCCTTGTAAAAGACTGAAAAAAAATGAATTCCCTTAAACAAAATAAAAAAAACTCTTCAAGTTTATAATATACATCTTTTGATTGATGTTGATGAATTCAGACCAACTATATATTTAATGTATTCTTCTAAATTTGCAACACGGCGGCGAATTGTATCGGTTTGTGAAGATGAATCTTGTGTGTAGGTGAAATAAAAATCTATCCCAGCTCATTTATTATGACAGCTATAGAATAAGCTTGTCAATGTGCAATTCTATTTGCACGATATGATATGAATGTGTTTTATTTTGTATGATAGAATAGGAAGGTTGCTATCAAATTAATTGGATAACCTCTGTCTATAACGATTGATAAAGGTATATTTATAGTCTTGGTGATACATATCTTGTATCATAGTTTGGGGACCTTTCTGTTCTAAATGTGCCTGAGTTAAATCGTATACATATACATGCACTGCACTTACAAACTTGCTTGCATGATTTCAGTCGGCAATATTCCCTTACCACGAATGCTAACTCATGTTTCCCTGTCTAAAATTCCACCAAATTATTCCGCTTTTAAATGAACTCAAAGTATGGATCTATTCTTAAGACTTTGTATTAATCAATTCGACTTTTTGTCAAGAAACTGACATTTTTTTCATTATCCTTATATAATTATCTTTCTATTTATATATGGTTGCTATGGTAAACATATGAGTTTTAATGTAAACAAATGCATTTTCTTGACCGGAAGTAATCTTACACACAGCGTTTGCCTGCTAACTAGCTGTCGTCACATGTAAACAATATATCAAATGGGAAAGAATATTGAGATATTTGATTGACTATCATTTGAAAATGCAAAATATTAATATGGAAAACATCTATGTGTAGTTTATGTGTGTTGTTTGACTGATATATACGTTTTAAAGGCCATGTACCCTAAGTGTACACCTGAGGCTTCGTAGCAACCACGTTGGAAACTTGAACGGTAACTTAACGAGATATGGCAAAGTGTATGCTCACGTACTGACTTCCGCATTATCGAAATACTGCATACACATATAGCGAAAGTTCGTAAGTGATGCACTGTGCGTTAACTGGGGTGCAGGTATTAGTCAACCGCACTCCAGAGCATGCCCATTGATTGGCTCATTTTTGCTGGGCTTTACATATTGTGACAGAAGAGAAAGGGACAGCGACAGAAATATCATATTCAGATGCTCGTGCATTGGTTACTTTTTCCTGGGGTTTCATATTGTGACAACAGGGAACGTGTTTATATGTTTGACTATGATACAATCAAAACACTCGTCAATCTGATTAATCTCGTGTTTCTAAGTAATAGAAAGAGCTTAGTCCCCTAGTATAAATCAGATTACCGAGTGTTTTGATGTCTTTTCTCTTTTGTGTCATAGTCAAACAAAAAAACACGTTCTCTGTAGTCACAATATGAAACCCCACAAAAAAATAACCAATGAACCAGCATTTGAATATGATATTTCCATCGCTATCCCTTTCTCTGTCGTCACAATATGTAAAGCTCAGCAAAAATGAACCAATCAACGGGCATGCTCTGGAGTGCAGGTAACTAATACCTGCACTCCAGTTAACGCACTGTGCATGTATATGTATACGATTTAACTCGATTTAACACATTTTCAACAGAAAGGTCCCCAAACTATGATACAAGCTATTTCTATTACTAAATCACATTAAAATTATTATGTATGTTACATAGCTAATTTCAAATGCATTGTGTAACGCATTGTTAAAGACATGACCGTGCATTAATAATCTTCCCTGATTTGTTGACAGAATGTTAATTAATAAGGTTAAACACGTAATGGATTAGTTATGCAGGATATACTCAAAATTAATTATTAGCATAATTTACCTGTTAATACGTGCCGTGCGCGTTTCTGACCTCAGATGATAGTAAGTAATATAACGTTTACTAAGTATTTAAAAATTGCACAGGTATATAAATTGTAACAGTAGATTTTATACTCAAACAACTTTTAAGTTAAAAAAGTTTAAAGTTTTTGTTTATTACAACTTTAGATAACTTTTAGATACCAGTCTGATATAAATGAAAGATAGACATTGCGTTCAACCCTTATTTAGCATTAAAAAATTTCACGGCCATTGAATTTAAACATGAGGCGGTTTACTTTGCATTGATGATCTCACATACAAAACTCTTAAAGCTGAGCACGGTATTGGTAAAAATCTTAACTTCATAAAAAGGAATTTATGGGTTCAGGATCAAGTGTCAAGTGAAAGTCGAGGGCTTGGTTCTGTTACGTTATTTGTAAACTTTTCCTACTTGGCATGTAACTATTATTCAATACAAATAAGCAAATCAATACATACATACATACATACATACATACATACATACATACATACATACATACATACATACATACATACATTCATACATACAGACAGACAGACAGACAGACAGACAGACAGACAGTATGTTACCTACATGATGCATTTATCACTAACTGGGACATAAATCACTCGTAAACATTTATATATAAATATATGTAGTAACTACTTATCCATGTTTTTCAAGAAATTTATACGTAAACTTTCAGAGAATACTGATTTTCCGTTCATGTTTCAAGTCTAATTGTTGAGAATTGAGCACCACTCAAGCCGGTGCTAGAGGGCGTAAGGAATGTTTCCCTTTTTCATTATCCGTCATATGCAGACTTAATCAAACCGAATCTGCAATTTTCATGTAATTTTGCTGTTTTTAATGCTTCCGAAGGATCACGTTTTCCGTATATTTATACAGTCAAAGTACACTAAAGACAATAATTCTTACTTTTTTGTTTAACTACAGCATCTGTGTATATTTTAACAGTGTGAGAAAAGAAATAGCAATTGTTAGGTGGCGGAGATATCATGGTGAATGACGATCCAAAGTGCTCCTCGGTAACATAATGTGGACAAAAGAGCACACCACACTTTGCCTTCCAAAAATCAGCTTGAGATTTTTCTATTACATAAAACATTTGCCACTTTCTAGAATCAAACTTAGCTATGAGTATATTGAAATGACAACATCTTATTATAGTGACGAATGTTGCAAAGGCAGCTATAACATTTGCTGTAAAACTTAACTCGTTTGAATCCCATAGAATGTGAAATATAAAACCAATACAATTTGAGATGTCATTTACAACTAATAACATAGATAAGTTTAAATAACAAGCTCACGCTTGAGTGGATGGACCTTGTTGAATATTCGTACACTTATTATAACTAATGAATTTGAACATTTTGAACCAGTCGGTCATAGCTTTAAAAGACTTGGACTGATGACAACTGACGTAAATAGACCATCATTCAGGTTTTTCTGCTGCAAATTTGCCAATATCGCAAGTGGCAAAACTTTTTTTTCACAAACTAAGCATTTTTTTTCGTAGAAGATTTAACAAAAATATACCCTTATTGACCGCTGATTGATAAGATGTGACAAATAAAAACAAAAATGACTTGCCAGTATAACAGCCCCTCCCCCATCCCATCTTGGTCTCCTCCGACAGACAACTGATTTTTGTTGGTATTTGTTTGGCCGAAGAGTGCTTCTTCAGTTTATGCAAACGTTTTCCGACGAACTCCGTCACATTTAACGGAAGAACTCCTGACAAATTAGCAGAAGAACTCCATCCTCCAAGTAACAGTTCCTCCCCATCGCACATGGGTTTCTGGTGGTGATGGTAAATAAACGTATAGTACACTCAAATATCAGATCTAGAGCTGTCAATTATCCTAGTATTTTCTTATATGACCCGTAACGTTAACTAATTAAATATTTTGTTGTAGTTTTCGGCCACGGGAGGTCATGCCCGGCATGCACCGCTGCACTGGCCTCTTTATGTGTCACCTTTTGTTCAAATGTTTACCATTAACTCTTGTCTTTTCAAAAGATTTTATTTCTCATTCACCCATTTAAGACACGAGGATTTGTAACGTACATTTATTTACCTACTATAAAAGTAGATGCATGTGTTTGCATGTACTTACTCGTGAAAACAAAATTACAGTGACGTGCAAGGATAAATAATTAAATGACGGAAGAACGCAGTCAGGTAGTATTACTTTATTTATGATGTTTTCATATGTATCATTAAATAAATTATCATCAATTATCAATTTTAGTTATAATGATAAAAAAGTAACCATTTACGTCTTTTTGACTTACGCGCATTGTTTAATTCATAGATTTAAATGTATGTATGCAGTATTTGGTTTATTTACATTTTCAAACAGTGCAACACGAGTATGTAGACAGGTATTATATAATTAATGTCAAAACACAATATACACGTCTGTTCAGATAATAATATGCTCATGTGACTGGTATTTTTTTGCATCTTAGGCCACACCAATTTCTTTATTTGCTATATGCATAAGATTTTATAATATTTTTTTTTCATTTATGTATTTTTCTTTCTAAAGCAAGGGCGCAATACATGTAAATAATATAGAAAATGGTCCTGTAAAACATTTAAGGAAATTCCCTGCGATCAATGCTGTAAGACGT